GAGACCAAAATGTAATGTTCAATCAAATGGAAAAGAGGAGATGAAGAACAAGCAGAAACCTGTGAAGCAAGATAATGAAGAACATGAAGTTCAAAATAAAGAAACCTTGGACTCCAAGGATGAAGATGGCTTCCAGTTAGTGGAGAAGAGGAAAAGTGTGTAAAAAGAGGCCACTTGTTTGGAGAGCATGTTTATGAGGATTTCTCTATGATGCCCCTTATGAGGGGCATTATCCTTTCCTCTCATGTAAGATGCTGGAATATTAGGGGTCTAAATAGCCCCTATAAAAAAGAAGAAATAAAAAGATTTGTTGGTAATAATAATATTGGTATCATGGCTATCTTAGAGACCAAAATTAAAGAAAATAAAATTAGTGAAGTGGAAGGAAAATTGGAACACCTGTACTAACCACCATGAACACTATTTAGGGAGAGTATGGGGGACATGGAATCTTGGAAAGTTTGAGGTCAAAGTTATTAGAAGAACAGATAAACTCATCCACTGTGAGGCTAGAAGAATTTGAGGGGATGATAGTTTTGCAATCACTTTTGTGTATGCTCAAAATGAGCCAGTCAAAATACTGGATCTATGGAAAAAGCTACTGGAAATTAACACCATAATTAAATGATCTTGGAGATACTGTGTTCTACATATGGAGGACAGACAAGAAGAAAAACCAATTGGATTGGAGGAAATAACAGATTTCAAGAACTGTGTGATAGCTTGTGGTCTTGAAGAAATGCATATGGAGGGGGCCTTCTTTACATGGTCTAATAGACAAGGACAAGGGCATAGAATATACTCAAGGATAGACAGAGCTTTATGCAACTCCGATTGGACAATTAATATAATACTAAAGTGATTGTCAAGGAAGAGGGGCTATTTGATCATACTCCCCTCATAACATATCAGAGTATATGAAAAATCTTAAAAAAGCTTCAAATTGTGTGATATGTAGATCACAGACTCTGAGTTTCCTAATATTGTTGAAGATGTATGGTTGGAGAAAACGCATGGAAGACCAATGTATGAGGTTTGAAAAAAGTTGAAAGATCTCAAAAGACCTTTCAGAGTCCTACACAGAAATAGATTTGGGAGACTACAAGAGGAAACAGAAACAATTAGGGCTCAACTTGAAAAAATCTAGGCAGAACTAAAAAGAAATTCCAATGATGGAAGGCTCATTGAGGAGGAAAGGAAATTAATTCAGATTGAAGTTCTCTTCCATGCTACTCAACCAAATGTGCAAAGTGAAATTGATTCAGAAAGGGGACCAAAAATCAAAGCTGTTTTATTCCTAGATAAAGAAAAGAAAGATCCAAAATCAGATATTAACTATCAAAAAAGATGGAACGATGGTTGAAGGGGAAAAGAAAAAGCGACAGAGGTTCTCGTAGAATTCTTCAATGGCCAGTTTGGGAATTATTCTGAAACTGAAAGGGTTAACATGAAGGCAATGTTGGAAGGTGCAAGCTTAATATTGCTCAACAGCTATTGCTTATATAGGAAGTAAAAAAGGGATCAGGTTAAAGAGCCTATGTTTGGCATACCTAATGGGAAAAGCCTTGGTTAAGATGGTTTTAGCAGTGGATTCTTCAAACACCAATGGAATATGATAGAGGAGCTGATAACTAAAGCCATATTGGGACTTCTTTAAAACATGGAAGTTTATCAAATAGATAAATTCTACCTCAATCACAGCAATTCCCAAGATTGAAGCACCTGTGGAAGCAAGTGACTGCATGCCCATCGCGTGTTGCAATGTATTATACAAAACCATCTCAAAAATCCCATGCAGTAGCCTTAAAAGGGTACTACCAGATATTTTAAACCAAAATCAAGGGGCTTTCATCACAAGGAGGAAATTAGTACATAATGTACTACTCTGTCATGAGCTAACGAGAGGGTATAGAAGAAGAGGAATATCACTCAGATGCCTTATGAAGCTAGACATCAAGAAAGCATATGATAATGTGAGAATGGAGGCTATTATACAAATAGCGGAGCTTCTAAATTTTGCCCATCAATTTGTAAGTTGGATTAAGTACTGCATCTCTACCCCTCATATTCCATACAGCTGAATGGAGAAGTTTATGGACACTTTGAAGGAAATAAGGGACTTAGGAAAGGAGACCCCGTATCCCCTTTGCTCTTTGTCCTATTAATAATGGGGTACTTGAGTAGGCTTCTCCAAAAAATGGCCAAAATCAATGAGTTCGAGTTCCACCCAATGTGCAAATCACTTAGATTGGCTAATCTGAGCTTCGTTGATGACCTAATCATAATATGCAAGGAAGAAGACAAAACTATAAAAGCTATTATGGATAGCTTGGAGACATTCTAGAAGAGCACGGGTTTGGGAATAAACTTCAATAAGTCACAAATTATATTTAGAGGGGTAGATAAAATGACAAACCTTCCTCTTGGAGATCTCCCTATTTGATATCTTGGAAGCCTAATATTTGCAACAAGGATAAGTGATAAAGAATGTGACAGATTGGTATGCATCATTACTTCAAAAACAATTAGTCAACTCTGTGTTGTTTGGGATCATGACCTTCTGGAGTCAACTCTTTATTATCCCATCTAAGGTCATGAGGAAAGTACAAAATATATGTAGAAACTTTCTGTGGGGGTCTAAGGCAATATATTCAAAAGTTCTTCTTGTGAACCGGGAGGAGGTATGCCTTCCTAAAACACATGGAGGGCTAGGATTGATGAATATGACTCTATAGAAAAGAGCATTCATACATAATTATTGGTGGGATGTCACCAAAGAGAAAAACAACCTTTGGGTGAAATGAATACATGAACGCTATATGAAAGGGGAGGTGGAGAACTATAAAGTCAGGGGTGATTGTATGTTGTTTCCATTGGAAGAAGATTATCCAAAATAGAAATGGTTTGAAAATATGCAGATTACCAAAGAGTATACCATAGAGGAGGGGTATACATAGCTACTCACCAAGAGAACCAACGTATTCTCTGCTCCTTTTATATGGAATAAGCTAATAGCCCCAAAACAACAATTTCTACTTTGGCTAATCTGTAAAGACAGGATGAGTACTAAGGATAGAATAAGCAGATTTGTTGATATTAATAAAACTGCTCTTTATGTAGGAATGAAAAAGAAGATAGTAATCATTTATTTTATAAATGCCCTTTCAATACAAACCTATTAGAGAAAATTTCAGAATGGCTTGGGCTTAAAATCAGTGGGGAGAATAATGTAGAAGAATTAAAAATAGGCTCATGTCCCTCAAAGGAAGAAGAAGACATCAATGTATAAGTGCTTTTGCTTTAACCTGCTACTGGATTTGGAAGACAAGGAACAAGATCATCCATTCCCAGCCCGCACTAACAGAAGAAGAAATCTTTCTTCAAATTCGAAAACATACGGAAGCTTACTGGCGGAAAACCTGAACAGCCTTTCAAGTAGTATGCAGAGTTTTAAACTTTTATGTAGAGCCTGTTCTTTAGGGCTGAAAAAGAAGAGCCGGATGTTGGAAGAAATTGGAAAAAACTGTAAGGAACTAGAAGCAACTGGAAAGAACTGGAAGAAACGGAAAGGAGCTGGAAGAAACGGGAAAGAACTGGATGAAACTTGAAAAACATCAAAAAATTGGAAAACCTAAAAAAACATTAAAAAAATTTATTTTAAATTCTTGTTGTTATAAATTATTATTATTATTATTATTATTATTATTATTATTATTATTATTATTATTATTATTCTTATCATCATCATCATCACGTTATCTTAATGAATGCCTTTAAAATAAAAAAATATTGTTCTGTTTCAAATACAAAAAAACTACTTTTGGGAAAAAATAATTATAGTATAAAGTTAGCATAAATATAAAAATATTAAATTTTAAAAAGTTTTTTGTGGTTATCTTTACCTCAATTTATTTATGCAGTATTTATTATAAATAATATATTTGTAATTATACTTTATATATTACAAGATTTTTTTAAATATCAGACATGTCACATTATGTAATCAAACCTATTTTTTCTTTCATGATTGACATTTTATTTTCATAGAAGTCATATTTTTGGAATAAAGACATAGAACGTTTTTTTTTACATTTTTTATGTTTTACTACTATTTTAGTCTTTTTCTCTAAACTATTTTTATTTACAACTTTTTTTTTATAAAACTTAGAAAAATGAGCAAATTTGAAGTAATAAAGGGAAATGTAAGAGGTCTTATATAAAGTTAGATTAATAAAACATTTTATGTCACTATTTTATCCATAATTTTTTTAAATACGTAGTATAGTTTAACATATTGATGTTTTTCTGTTTTATCATGTAGATTAATATACAAAAATTGTCTTATTCATGTTTTAAAGTTGAAGATAAAAAATAATGAGTGTGAATTCTAAAAATGGTGAGATGAAAAAAAAAATTATTTATAAACTATAGTTATGAACATAGCAGTTGTAATAATAATAATAATAATCACATTAAAAATATATCGTTTTTAGAGTAATTAGTTGGAGAGTAGAAAGAGTTTGATGAAAATGAGAATAGTTTGAAGAAACTGGAAGGAATTGGAAGGAACTGGAAGAAACTGGAAAGAACTGGAAGAAATTGGAAGTTAAGAGTTCAAGCCCTAAAGAACAAGCTCGTAATATGAGTGGTGGGGCTGTAAAAGATTTGAATCTGATGATGATATAAAAGTGATACGGGTATTGATGCGGGACGTACGAACGAGGCCCATGCGCAGCCCATAGCGGAGGGGCGTCCACGGAGGAATGTCGGGCCACCCCGACGGTATCGTGACTTTTTTTAATATTTATTATTTCATTCTTCTCCATTAATTGTATTTTAGATTTTTCTTAGGAGAGCGTGTTATAAGCTCCTTCAAGGGTTTTCTTTTTGGTTCTTTCCCTTGACGCCTTTTTTTGAACCGACAGGGTAGATAATTTAGTAATTAGGGTTTGGGAGGATTTCCTACTATATATTACGAGGGTTGTACGCCTCATGCTGCATGAATGAATAAACCACCTTCCTTCTCCCTAAAGAATTCTTCTCCTTTTCTTCCCAAAAAACCCTACTACCGCCACATCACACCTTCCTCTGTACGGCCGGCAAGGATCGGACGTATCATCTGGTGCTCTCATTTCCGTTCTCAATGGCTCCCTCTGATCAACCTCACTCCTCCTTGACATTAGAAGACGTCATGCATGCCCTAGAAGCCCTGGGCAACGATCTGCAGGACACCAAATCTCGGGTGGCAGACTTGGTGATGTCCAGACGACCGGCATTCAGTGAGCATCAGCGGCCGGTGTATCAAACAAATCCTGGCTGGCGTCCTCCGGCTTCCCGCACGACCCCTCCAACGCTGGACTCGGCCCCAAGAATGCGCGTTGATGCTCCTCCATTCTCCGGGGAAGACCCGACAGGTTGGATCTTTCGTGTTCAAAAGTATTTTGATTACTTTCTCACGCCCGAACCCGAACGTTGGCACTTGGTTGCCATGTTGATCGATCATCCGGCATCGGAATGGTTTCATTACTACCAGGCGAATAACCCTATGGCTACATGGCCGGAATTCTTGGATGCAGTCCAACAACGGTTTGATCCCACCTACTATGAGAATTATGTGGGGCTCTTGTCTAAGTTGACACAGACCTCGACAGTGTTGGCATACCAAACCGAGTTTGAAAGTCTACTCAATAAGGTGTCCGGGGTGCCAGAGTCCACTCTTGTCGCCATGTTTATTGCCGGACTCAAGCAACCCATTCAACGCGAGGTGAATCTCCGGAACCCCTCTACTCTTCCCATCACCTTTTCTTTAGCCCGGGAACTTTCGGCTTGCCACTCGGACGCGACGGGATTGTATGGAAAAGATACGAGACGCCCATGGTCCTCCCGTCCTCCCGTCTCACCTACGGCGGGTATCCTGCCCACTCCGCCATCCTCCAGCCGGGCGACACCCCCACCTCCAGCGGGTCGAGGAAGTGACTCCAATTCTAAACTTCCGATTGTTTGGCTCACGAATACCGAAAAGACGGAACGCACGAAAAAAGGATTATGTTGGTATTGCGATGAGAAGTGGGTTCCGGGCCATAATTGCAAGCATCGTTTCTTGCTCTTAATGGGACCGGATCATGACGATGATTCTCTAGACGATGGCAGCGGCATCCCTCCCGACGACGACCTCATCACGGCGGACATATCCAGTCTGAACTCTCTGGCCGGAAACCCTAGTCCCCGTGCATTGAAGTTGGCAGGCACGGTGCATGGTTCCCTGGTACAGGTGTTATTGGACAGCGGTAGTACACACAATTTTATCCATCCAGGCGTGGCCGAACGTCTTCACTTGCCACTCCAACCGATTCCGCCATTCCGGGTCTATGTCGGCAACGGCGATTCTCTACGTTGCTCCCACTCCTGCCCGCAGACTTCCCTTTCCTTACAGGGCAATGTGTTTCTGGTTGATTTATACATTCTTGAAATCCATGGAACCGATGTGGTCCTCGGTGTGCAGTGGTTACAAACATTGGGGCGAATCTGCCACGACTATGCTAAGATGACTATGGAGTTTACGATGGGCAAGAAGATGATTACACTTCGCGGTGATGTCCCCCAACCACGGGCCATATCTTATGGGCACCTCTGCACGTTACTGGCTTCCCCTGGGGACTGGGCCATTTTTGAATTGCTCCCCGCACGGGTGGAACAGCAGCCAGTGGGGGGCGAGGCAGTGTCTTTACCAGAGGATACACCGCCCACTCTCCGCCCTATTCTCCTCGAGTTCGCATCTGTTTTTGGAGCTCCGGCAGCCCTTCCACCTTCACGCAGTTGGGACCACCGCATTCACCTGGGAGTAAGAACGAAGCCCGTCAATGTACCGCCTTACCGCTACCCATACTTTCAGAAGACGGAAATAGAACGACAGCTACGGGAAATGCTTACGCAAGGTGTAATTCGGCCGAGTACTAGTCCCTTCTCTTCTCCCGTTTTGTTGGTTCGCAAAAAAGATGGCACTTACCGTTTTTGTGTGGACTACCGGGCACTTAATGCGGCCACAACTCCTGATCACTTTCCAATTCCTACATCGGACGAACTCTTTGATGAACTAGGGCATGCCCGCATTTTCACAAAACTTGACCTCCGTTTCGGTTACCATCAAATCCGAATGCATTCGGCCGACGTATTCAAGACCGCCTTTCGCACTCATGACGGCCACTTTGAATTCCTGGTCATGCCGTTTGCCCTCATTAATGCCCCCCCCACCTTTCAAGCAGCGATGAATAGCCTCTTCCGGGAACACCTCCGACGGTTTGTCATTGTCTTCTTCGACGACATCCTTGTTTACAGTGCGTCGATGGCTGACCACGCGACTCACTTGTGGGCAGTTTTGAGCACCCTGCGCGACCACTCTTTTTATGTCAAGATGAGAAAATGTGCTTTCGGCAAGTCTACCATCTCTTATTTGGGGCATGTCTTGACGGCGGGGGAGTTGCGTGGCGATCCAGACAAAATCGCCGCCATGGTCTCTTGGCCGAAACCACGAACCTTGAAGCAATTGCGGGGGTTCCTTGGGCTCACAGGTTACTATCGACGCTTCATCGCGGGTTATGCGGTTATTGCCGCCCCTTTGACAAATATGTTAAAAAAAGACTGTTTCAAGTGGGACTCGGCAGCAGAGACTAGTTTAACGGACCTCAAGACGGCGATGACGACAGCTCCTGTTCTCCGCTTACCAGACTTCACACAGACTTTCTACATCGAGGCAGATGCCTCTAAAGTGGGTATCGGCGCCGTATTACTTTAACAAGGTCATCCCTTGGCCTTTTTAGTAAGAAATTGGGTCCTCGACGGCGCGCCGCTTCTACCTACCATAAAGAATTGTACGCCATAATAGAAGCGGTCCAAAAGTGGCGGAAATATTTGTTGGGGCGTGAATTCGTTATTCGGAGTGATCAACGCAATCTCAAGGAGCTCATGTTACAAGTTATTCAAACTCCGAACCAACAATTTTATGTTCAAAAATTAATGGGCTTTAAGTTCTGGATTGAATACAAGTCGGGTGTCTCTAATCGTGTCGCTGACGCCCTATCCCGTCGAGATGAGGATGACCCAGCGGCTCTGTTCTCCACGTTTGCCCAGCCGCTGCCTTCCCTCATGGATGCCTTGCACGAAGAGAATTGTTCCTTGCCAGACCTGTAGCGCCTTCACTTGGCAGTAGCAGAGGGACGCGCGCCCACCCATATCACGGCCCATGATGGGTTCCTTTATTACAAGCGACGCCTTTTTGTCAGCCCGGAGTCTAAATGGTGTGACAAAATCCTTCACGAGTTCCACAGTACCCCATCCGCGGGTCATCAAGGGGTGGAGCGCACCTTCCGACGCGTTGCGGCGGTATTTTATTGGCCGTCCCTCCGCAGGGAAGTTCGCCACTTTGTCGCTTCTTGTGCAACGTGCCAAATCACCAAGTACTCTACACAGAAACCCGCTGGACTCCTCCATCCGTTTCCAATTCCGGACAAGGTTTGGGACTCCGCTTCAATGGACTTCATCACGGGCTTGCCATCATCGCAAGGGTTCACAGTGATTATGGTGGTCGTGGATCGCCTGAGCAAGTATGCCCACTTCGGTGCTTTGCCCGCCCACTTTGATGCACCACGTGCGTCCCGTCTCTTCATCGACATTGTGGTTAAACACCACGGGTTTCCCCAATCTATTATCTCGAATCGCGACTCCATTTTTATGAGTGCTTTTTGGAAGGAGTCGTTGCGTTTGAGTGGGACTTCTCTGCACTTTTCAACGGCTTATCATCCGCAGAGAGATGGGCAAACCGAAGTCCTCAACCGAAGCCTTGAGCAATATCTCCGGGCCTTCACGCACGAACGCCCGTCTAAATGGGTCGGCTGTCTCCCTTGGGCAAAACTGGCCTTGAACTGCAGTTACCACGAAGGCCTAGGCACGTCACCGTTTCGGGCCCTTTATGGCCGTGAACCACCGTCTGTCTTCCCCACTATCTCTGTACGTGCCAAGAACCCGGAGGTGGAGGAGGTTCTACGTGAGAGGGCAGATTTACTGGATGATTTGAAGACCCATCTCCGGAAGATGCAACACCGTATGAGAGATCGCGCAAATCAGCATCGTCGTGATGTGTCATTCGCGGTTGGTGATTTGGTCCTTTTGAAACTCCAACCTTACCGCCAGCACTCTGTTGCCCGTCCTCTATCAGCGAAGCTCGGCCGTCGTTATTGTGGGCTTTTTGAGATTCTCGAACGCATCAGACAGGTGGCCTACCGATTGCGTCTACCAGTGGGATGCCGAATTCATGACGTCTTTCACGTCTCGTTACTTCGCCCATTTGTTCAGCGTGATGCCAGCCTCCCGATTCCTTCCTTGCCGGATTGCTTCTTCAAAGGCCGTCCAGTTTCTATCCAGCCAGTGTTATTCAACGCCGCACGGTTCTCGTCGACGGCAGACCCCAGGAGCAATGGTTAATCTAGTGGTCTGATGCCGAAGACGGTTCTTTCACTTGGGAACCCGCGGAGGAGTTGGCGCGCCATTTTCCAAACCTTAGCCTTGAGTACAAGGCTATTGTTAACCCCGGGGGAGATGATACGGGTATTGATGCGGGACGTACAGACGAGGCCCATGCGCAGCCCATAGCGGAGGGGCGTCCACAGAGGAATGTCGGGCCACCCTGACGGTATCAGAACTTTGTTTAATATTTACTATTTCATTCTTCTCCATTAATTTTATTTTAGATTTTTCTTAGGAGAGCGTGTTATAAGCTCCTTCAAGGGTTTTCTTTTCGGTTCTTTTCCTTGACGCCTTTTTTTGAACCGACATGGTAGATAATTTAGTAATTAGGGTTTGGGAGGATTTCCTACTATATATTACGAGGGTTGTACGCCTCATGCTGCATGAATGAATAAGCCACTTTCCTTCTCCCTAAAGAATCCTTCTCCTTTTCTTCCCAAAAAACCCTACTGCCGCCACATCACACCTTCCTCTGTACGGCCGGCAAGGATCGGACATATCAAAACGCTTGTGCATTTTCTTCAAAAAAACAATATATTCCTCTCTATTTTATTTAAAAAATATGTTTTAGTTGTTAGGCTACGGGGTGTGAATGTCTGTGATGACCATATAAGACTAGGATCGGGGGGGCACCACCCCCTCTTCCATGATCACGTTGTGATGTGTTTGGTTGCCATCTCCATAATGCGTCGGCCCCTTCCTCCATTAGCTATTGCAAAAGCACTTTTTAAATTATTTTTTCAATTATTAAAACCTTTATTCACGTCTCAACTTCATATACTTCATTTTTGTATAATTCTTCTAAACTTTCATCCTGACGCCATGCTAATGGACGATTGACCACCGCGAACAGAGTCGGATTAGAGAACTTTAGCTCCGATATCATGATAAAATTTGATAATAATTGATTTTATTTAATATTGAAGGATACATCCATATTTATAGGGATTACACGAGATAGTTCTAATCATGGCAAAAAAAAGAACTATGGTAGCAATGCAATAAGAAAATAATATGATAAGGAAATTAATTAAATATAATAATTGTTTCCTATTATCAAATATTCCTAATACTTTTTATCTTGGGGCACAACTCAACTAGTAAAGGGAGTAGGTGACCTTAGCGACCTACATGTGAGAGTTTTAAGGGGGAATGCCCATGCAAGGAGTCTTGAGACTCTTTAATGCTTTGCCACATTAATATTATAGTATTTTAGGATCTTTTTCAGATTTTTAGAAAAACTAACCCAATTCACAGACTTTTTCAGGCTTTCCATGTTAAGATTCCATTATCTTTTATTCTACGAAGTATTAACTTTTACGGCGTATTTTATTAAATTAGATAAATAATATTTCATATATAATTGTATTATACATTGATTTTTCTACCAAATTTGTTTATAAATATAATTAACCATTAAAGTATCAACAAAAAATTAGAGAAAATTATGTAAATTAACACACATAAAAGAAAATCATTGCTTTTTCATCAAATTATTTAAACAAACACATGTAAATATAAATTACGTAAAATAAAATAAAAAACACAACAAATGAACATTACATAAGTAGACATAATTGAAATATATAACTCTATCTTTATATTCATTAAGTAGACATAATTGTCATGGGAACCAAGCGGAATTTTTATTGGATGAACTATTAAGATGGGTGAGTAGACTTGGAACGAGTTACCCAAACCAAATGATCCGAAAATGAAACCAAGATGGTCTGAAAAATGAAGTTTCGATTTATAATCGAATACCTGAAATGATCCAAACCAAATCAAAACCAAACTAGATATACCCATACCCGATTTAAAACCAAACCGATTAGATCGGAAACTAGTTAAATCCAAAACCAGTTAAATCTGGAACCAATAAGACCCGAAACCGGTAAGATTTGAAATCGATAAGATCCGAAATTGATTATATCTCAAATTGATTTTGCCTGATGTTGAAGCTTGATTTTTTATACATTTAAAGAAATGTTTTGAAATCCTTTAATATGGAGTATAATATTTGAGAGTTAATAGCCTAGAATGATGACATGTGGCACTTCCTCCTATAGCCTTGATTTTTTGACACGTGGTGAATGTATCACGCTTATTCACGCGTCTCTCACTTCTTTCCCAATTCACGGAGGTCTAAACAAGAAAGCACTCCGTATCAGTCTTCTTCGCGAGACCTTCTTCGCCAAAATCAAAATCAAGTAGTCTCTTGCGGCTATTCTTCGCCAAACAAAAGTAATGGGGGTGTATTCAATTAAGATTTTATAGGATTTTTTTAGATTTCAAAAAGTTAGTGGATTTAAAAAATTTGTAGAATCTATGTAGAGTTTGGTTGATTTTTTGTAGAATCCATGTAGAGTTAGAAAAATTTGTAGAATCCATATAGACTTTGAAAAATTTGTAGATTTTGCAACAGAAGAAAAGCAGAGCAGAAAGAACCCAATTTCAAGACCAGCTCCAACACCTGCTTTAAAGAATTACAATTTGGACAAGAAGGTGGCAAACTCCATCGGCAAACTGGCCAAGACCTGCTTCTCGAATTTTCAGCCAAGGGCAACGTCACCAAAAGGGTTTTCGCCAAACCGCCGCCTCACCCGACCCGTTCGTCTTTGAGCCCTAGTTCCGATCTCCGCTGCGACGAGCTGCACCTCCACGACTCAAATCTCCGGGAACTCGTCGGTGGAGAAGAAGAACAGCAACCATATGCCGAATTACATGAGACGAATGCCAAGCAGAGAAATAAAAGATTGACGGATGCCGGTTGTGAGAAAGATAGTGAAAATGTAAGCATTTTTATTTTTTGAGAAAAAATCCAACAAAATTCATAGACTATTAAAATTCATAGAATCTTGAATATCTCAAAATTTTTAAAGACTTTTGAAAATCTAAGTTGAATAATTTAATATTTTTAAAGACTTTGGAAAATCACAATTGAATACCTCAAGATTTTTAAAGACTTTTGAAAATCCAGATTGAGTACACTTAGGTAAGAATTTTTGTCACAACTTTTACATTTTTTTAACCGTTTATCTAGAATTTGTCTCCATCTATTGAGTAAATCAAGTTTGATTCAAAGTTATTTTCAACACGAACTTACTTATTTATATACTTTTTCCATTTATTTCAATCTAAATTCAAACCAATAGTTTGAAAAGATTTTATTATCATTTTTAGGCATCGTTTTGATTTCCTCGAGATTTATAAGTTTGCCGTTAGGACTTCTCCACGATCTCCTTCCTTCTGCAATCATATTCCTTCTTTGTTTATCAATCAATGCCAAAACCCAATGTTATCCTTATTTTCTTGCTTTAAAGTTATTATCTCTCTTTTTTTTGCTTCTACATCTCTATTTTCTGCTATGCGCTAACGCTTAATTATATAGGTTAGACTTTTGATTTTTTATATAAAGTGATATTTATTCAAGATTTCATCAATTTCAGGCGATAATTCTTTTTTTTTGAATGCTCTGGCGAAATTCAAATTCCTCAACCTGCTGCAGCAACCGTCCAATACAAAGGCTCTCATTGGTATATGTGAATACGGTATGTCAAATTGATTCGTTCAGTGTATCAAATATGTGTTTGAATTGGAAATAGAAATTACATGAAAATAGTGATAATTTTAATACCTATTTATTTAAAAATTAGGATTAACCTTTTAAAACTGATTAATTATATCCGTTTGGGGTTCAGATCTCTGTTTTGAAAGACAATTGCATTGTGTTGGTGTTCTAAAATAAAAATCAAATTCGTCATTGTAATATAGAATAATTTATTTTCATTCATTCCTAGCACCATATTTTCTTAACTTTTTGTTTGCCACAACTAAGATTATCCATCTCCTTTAATTTCAAAAATTACCCCGACCGGTGAATGTGAGGGTTAAAGTGATATGAGTATCAATTCAATCAAGAAAATATTTATTGATGAGTTTGTAAGTTATAATTTCATTTTTTGTGGTTGGTGTTTTTGTGGTGGTGTTCATTTCATGCTGAATGAATTTATTCTCTTTAATTTGTATATTGTTATGAGTTTATGGAAGTAACTTTTATTTCAATTGAACTATGATGCTTAAACGATTTGAAGAACCCTTTTTTGCTTATTGCAATTATGAGAGTACGAGGCTTGAATTATTTTTTATAATCTAAATAAATCAGTGTTTTAAAAAAATTGAACCACATTGTTTGACATAAACTACAGAAAAGTTGTCAAAATAATTGCATCCGTCTTCATCCTTTGTTTAGAGTGGTCTATGTGTGAAGCTGTCTTTTATTTTGGTGGTCCTAAAGTGGTGAGATACAAAGTCTAGAGGGGTGGGTGAATAGACTTTGTTACAAATTTAAAATCTTTTTCGTTTCTTTTGAAAACGTGAAAATAAGTGTTAATCTAGAGTTCTTGAGAACTTTAGATTGTGTGCGGAATTTGGTGGGTAGAGTGAGCAGTAATCAATATGGATGGGTTAGTTTTCACAGTTAATGTAATTGCAAGTAAGAGTAAAGATAAAAGAGAGAGAC